CAAAGAGAATGAAGACTGTCTATCTCTGTCCATCTCGTGCGCGCCGCGTCCCTCGCCAGTTTTTTTTGCGTTCCTTTCTCTTTTGCTCCGTCCGTTAAAGAGAAAAGGAAATGATGGAGGTCCCTTTCGGCGAGGTCGCCTCTGAAATAATATCCTCTACGCTACGTTCCCGGAGACGGGTGGGCAAGGGGGCACGAGTTTACTAGACCTCGGGGGAGCGAGGCACTGAGGCGCTGCACTGCCAACTCAACGCGTTTGCTTTTAGGTCTTTTACTGAACTGGTTCGTTCCTTTTACAGGTGCGTCGGGGAGAGTCAAGGCAGGCCGGTGGCCGTCTTCGAAAATTGCAGTGCAAGGTAACGGCAGGGCAGCCGGGTCCCGGAGGGGCCTACATGGCCAACCCGCGTACACTGACACGCGCACACACACGCACACAGACGAATCCACAGCAAACTGACCCACTCCCCGGCCCGGCCGCTCCCAGGCGACACGAGCGCCCCCTGGACCGGGAGAGAGAGAGAGAGAGAGAGAGAGAGAGAGAGAGAGAGAGAGAGAGAGAGAGAGAGAGAGAGAGAGAGAGAGACGGGAATGGGTGCTGCGGTCGCGATTTCTCACACAGCCGAGGTGAGGCTATAACTCTTGGGCCGGTGTCACACGCGGACCTTAGAAACAGCGCGGGTGTGTGTCGGTGCGTCGGGGCGACGCGGCGGCGCGAGAGCTGACCGCGGGGCCGCGGGGCCGACACGGCGTTTCCGCTGCACTGTGGGTAGGTCGGGATAGGAATTCAGCGAGCGGACGGTAAAGAGGATCCGCCAACATTTCAAGATTAGTCTGCGCGGCGTGTGTGCGTGAGTGTGTGTGGGTGTGTGATTATTTTTGTCCAGAGGCCCGTGGTGGTAATTGCAGTAGCGCGCGAGGCGGCTCTTGCTTCCTAGTAGTCCGGCGAGCAAATGCACCCCCCCCCCCCGCCACGCCCCGCCCCGCCACGCCACGCTCGGGAGGACGGCCTCGCGCGAGAATGCCGCCACTAATTAAGGGGGCCTAGCGGGGCCCGGTGTTGCTGCTGGCAGTGCCTGCTCCTCGCTGCACGCCGTTTCCACGGCGAACCTTGTGCAGCCCACCACCCAGCCGCTCACACGCTCTCTCTCTCTCTCTCTCTCTCTCTCTCTCTCTCTCTCTCTCTCTCTCTCTCTCTCTCTCTCTCTCTCTCTCTCTCGCGGCGTGACGCCCTGATTGGCCGCGGGGCCCTCGCCTCGGACGATGAATGGGCGCCAAGTTAGGGTGTCGTTTTTCGGCGTGCAGCCCGGCTCGGGTTCGCGTCTCCCCGCCGCCCCTTGAGACAGGCCCACTGTGGTGGGGTTGGTTTGAGTCGGGGGTTGCATGCGCGGGGTGGGGGTTGGTGGCGGGGGCGGCCCAGCAGGGGGGAAGGGGCAGACAGGGCCGTGCATTAGGCCAAAGAGCACCTCCAGAGTGTGCCATTAATTTTCTGACAAGCTATTGCAATACCGGAGACTTCGCCCGGCGCCGCCCTCCTCCATCGCCCACCTTAACATCTGATAAAGGTCGGCAACTTTTTCTCCTTATCTGGTCGTGGCTTTGCGAGCTACACCTCGAGCAGGATGGCGGGCGGCAGAGATGGGTTGCCTACCTCCGCGGCGCCTGGCGCGGGCGGGCGCGACCAAGACGAAAACGAAAACGGGTGTGAGGGGGGAAATAACGCTGTCGTGCCCTGCAAAAAGGGGGGGGGGGGACTTGATGGGGGCAAAGTCAGTGCGCTGAAGCATGACGGGGCGTGGCAGGGCGTGGCGGCCGATGACAACACCTCTCGTTTTGCCGTGGATGAGGCGGCGCTGGTGCCACGGCCACACCGACATGAAAAATGACAGTGTTTACTACGGCAGGGCGTCGGCAGGGCGTCGGCAGGGCGTCGGCAGGGCGTCGGTAGGGCGTCGCCGCGTCGCGGCCACCCCGGCGCGTCCCCGGCAGTGCGTCGTACCGCCACCGTATCACCCCGCACTTTTTATTCCCCCCCCCCCCTCTTCTTTTTTCCCTCCGCGCTCTAGATTTTCTCATCAATTTTATGACCCAAATGTAAGGAGGGTTCGGCACCCCGGGTGGCAGTTTCGTGTTTTTGCATTGTTCGTCGCTGTGCTTTCGCCGTGCTTGGCCGTCATAACCGCGCAAGCCGCCGCAACCCCGTCATCAAACATTAAACGGTCTGGAGATTCACGTTTTCCTGTTGTGGCTGCTGCCACTCGATTCTCGGACCACTCACGCCATCGGGTATCCTCTTAAATACACGCGCGCACACACACAGACGGACACACACAGACACACACACAGACGCACACAGGACTCGCGGTCGGCTTTCCCAGTCTGGGAGTGCAAAGGGCTTTGGTAGGGCGTCGATGCAACCGATGCTCTCGGGCCCACTGGACTGCATGAAGCGCATCGGGACTGCAAACAGGGCTCCCTTTGAGCCCTGCGTGCCCTGCGTGCCGGGCCGGCCTGCGTGCACAGTGTGCACACGCCAGCACTGCGCCGCAGTCACGTCACATCACAGGCTCATCACGAGAAAAAAGTACTTTGTTGAGGTGATCAATTCTGTTCGATCAGACTGACCCTAGGTTAAGTTCTGCAAATGTTTGGTCGTGGCTGCCGGCTGCCGGCATTTGGTCGTGGGTTCCAGATTTTCGATCGAATCGTATCGAATTCAGCCTCAAACAAGGTTGATGACAAAATTTGTTTTTCGCGTTGTCCTTCCAGTGCCACCCTCCGTTCTCCGGCGTGGCGTTTCGGACTCCTCGCGATGGGCCAGGTTGTCCCTTTTGTTCCTCTTGTTTTTGTCCGTTCCGGACCTGAAGTTGGTGCATGGTTGTAGTCCGACTCGCTCGTGGCGTGGAGGAAGGTTCGTGCTCGAACTGCTTCCACTTTGCACTTTGTCGAGAGCAAGCAGTCTGTGTCGGCGGTAGTTGGTACATCCCGGCCCGCGCGTTCACTGACCCTATCCAGGAAGCCCACCCACCCAGTCCACCCCGCCCCGCCCCGCCCCGCTCCCGGAGGACGCCTCAGGGATCCCCTTCCCGCCTCTGCAGCGACGTCACGCGCGGCGAGTGCTTGGCCGTTACGTACTTGTCGTGCGTCAGGCCGCTGCGCGCTGCGCGTGCGCCCTGGAAGGGAGAGACTCTTTGAAGCGAGTCGATGGCGCTGCGCTGCCCTCCGCCAACGGAACGGAACGACGCGCTCGGCTAACTCGATTGCCGGCCGCGCCAGCCGCTCGGCCGAAATAATAATCATCAACGTCATGACGAGAATGGAGTTTCCCCCCCGCGGCCCGCGGGATGTGGTTGTACCGCCGGGATAAGCTTTTAGCACCACCTGGCCGTAAGAAGGCGCAGCGCGGAAACACGCAATTCAGAAAGTCTGCTGCAAACATCAAAACTTTTGGACTTCTCGGGGGCCTCTTTGTCTCGCTATCTCTCCTCACCTCTCTAAGGCGCGGCCTCTCCAAGGCCCGGCCGTTCATCCTCCGCGGCCGTTGTCTCGATCAGCGCTCCGCCGGCTTCGCTCCTCGGGAGAGATTCCCGCCGTATATATCCCGGCGACTGCCGGACTGCCGCCACCGCCGCACAGTGGGCCAGTTCCAGGCGCCGCCAACTTCGGCCCGCGAGTCAGGGCACGCGTTTCGGGCTCTGCGCTCCACAAACGTGTCTCGAATCGAGCGCGTGGGGGTACCGATAGACTGCACTTCGAACGGGGAGTCCACTCTCCCAACATGACTTCGTCCACGTTGACAGATTGGCGTCCTCGAATCCTGAATCGAACATGAGGGTGGTGTCGGCATGCTCTATGCGAACAGGGAATCCATCGTTACGCTCTGTTGGAGGGAAACAGTTCGAAATTGCTGTCACTGGCTTGTGTTCCGCTGTCGGCACGCGCCGGCCTCCGGGTTATGGGTCCTTATCACGGGCACGCAGGCACGCCACTGCCTCGCCACTGCCTCGCCACCCAGGCCGGCATCTCAATCGAGGAGGCCACTACGCCACTGCGTCGTCATGGCAACAGATGGCGAGCCCCTAATCGACACCTGCCGGGCCTGTCGGGCCTGACGGGCCCATCAACCACATTCCAGGCTCCAGGCCGGCCTGTCCATTGTGCCGCTGACTGCCCCCCGGCCGATAAGGCTGGAGTCCAACCGCGGCCCCCAGTTTACCGACCCCTAGTTATCGTCTTGCCGGCCGGCCAGCGCCTCGCGGGCCCCGGAGGCCGCATAGAGGCAGCGCGATTCCAACAGCAATTTCTTGTCCGGAATCTGCTAATAATGGCGTGCCTCGTCTCGAGATTTGGAAGAGATTGGCGAGTGAGGGGCGAACGCGGCCAGACCACAGGCAGGCGGGGGCTCCCCCGGGACGCCGTCCGAGACCTTCGGCCGGGCCTCGGCGGCGTGGCCGATGGCGTGGCCGGGATGGTGTGCAATATTTGCCCAACTCGCTGACCCCCACGAGCGCCAACTCCTCCACGCGGCCCCCGCAGGACACGCCGTGGCCGGGGGCTAAATTCGATACGGCCGGGCTGCCCCCTCGGCGGGGCCCTCGGCGGGGCCCTCGGCGGGGCCCTCGGCGGGGCCCTGGCCTCGGCCCTGGGAGTCTGGCAGCCCCAAAAGCCGCAGATTGCTCAACACACCATCAATTACTTGGCGGAGTGGGTTAGCGCGACGCTGATACATGGAAGTCTCTCCCCTGCGCGTTATTGGGGCCGCGGGGCCCCAGACCGGGCTCTTCTCCCACACCGCGAGTCATTTTCGGCGGGGTGAACGGCGTGCCAAAGTGCCAAGTGCGCGGCCCGTTGTTTCGTTTTACGGTTCTTTTGGTTGTTTTTCCCCGGCGCGCCATTCAAATCCAGACACCTCTCGGCGTGTACCGCCACTTGCCACTCCGGATGTCGCGGAGGGCGCGGTGCGGTGCGGCGCGCGGCCGTTTCAAACTTTGCCCGCCACGTTCATCAGTCATCTGTGGGAACAAAACTGACACGACCGAGCCCTTTATGAGCCCTATGCCGAACCGAGTGTCGGGCCCGACGGGCCTCGCGTCGGCCGGGACAGGCGCGGCCGTGTTCATAAATTCGTTTTGCGACTAAAGTTTGTCCTCGCGAGTCCTGGACAACATTTGTCACGGCAGATGTTCCGGTGGAGAGAAAAAAAGAAGGGGAACAGAAAGTGGGCGGCGCGTTTTTAGAACGAAAGGGAGGGAGAAATAATAGGGCCGCGCAGCCTTTCGCTTGCTTTCGCTGCTTTCGCGCTTCCTCCCGAAACGAGGGACGGGAACAGGGGTCAGCCGGACCCGACCCCCTATGCATCAGGGAAGTTACAAGTCCTTTCTCCAAGTTGGCTGACCGGCCTAAATCATGCGACACTCGCAGACATTACGCCCCGCCCCGCCAAGCCCCGCCATGCCCCGCCCCGGACGGCGGACTTGCTCCAGTTTGGCCACTTTTCCTCGCGGCCTTGCGAGGACCGGACGTGGCGCCGCCGCGGTCAGGCTGGAGTCAGAGATTCGAAGATTTTTTTTCGGGAGGGGAAAGGGTTACTCAGTTCGGTTTTATCCTGCAATGCTTGGAAATCGGTTGCAGAACTTTTCCGTACGATTTGTGTGTTATTAGGGCGTGCTCCTCCTGGCTGAGTGATTGGTTCTGCTGGTTTGGCCACGAAGCTGGCCTCCTTGGCGGCGCCTCCGCGCTTCGCTAGCCTGGCGGCGCCTCCGCGCTTCGCTAGCCTGGCAGCCCTGACAACCAAAGGGACAATGCGGCACCTCTTGGCCTCCTCCGGGAGCGTGGCTGCGGTGTCAACGATCCGACGAACACTCAAAAAGGAGACCTTGTGCCGGCGGTTGCAGCCGGGCGTTTGTTGCTGCCTGGTGGACTTGTTTGTGCTGCAGGGCAATGCTGCCGCGATGGGGTTGAAGGTCCCGAAGTCCCTGCAGGGCGTGGCCAGCGGGCCGCCACGGCCGCCATCAAGTTTTAGCAGCGCGCCGATATCCGTGCAGGTCAAAAGCCCCGTCAAGTCGAATCCCCCCGGCGGGCTGCAGCAGCACTGCGACCCAGCACACCCTGCCGAGGCCAAGCAGAGCGAGTTGGAGCCGGGCGGAGCCGAGCCACGTCGCAGAGAACGCCGCGACCGTCGCTTAAAATTTAATTGAGAAGCGGGAGCTCTCTCTTATTGCCGAGTACCGCTCCGCAAGGCGGCACAGAGTCGCTGTAAAAATGTCGAAACGGGCGAAAGAGGTAACTCAGCTCGCTTCCTGAAGCGGCGACCAGGGCACTGTGTTTTGAAAATGGACGTGGGAAGAAAACGAGCCTCGGAAAACCAGCGCTTTAATAAGCCACGCACTCGGCGTACACGACGGCGTCGTGCGTGGTGGGGAACACGAGCAGGGTGACGGCGTCCAGGGTGCCGCAGCAGCGGCGCAGGGCGGCGTGCACGCGCGTGTTGGCGCCCGCCACCAGCAGCGCCACGCCGCGCACCGCCAGGTCCTGGTGCACCGCGCGCAGCGCCGCCGCGCCCGAGGGGTCGATCCTGGTGACGGCGGCCACGTCCAGGACGACGTGCAGCGTCGTGCTGTCCGAGGCCGGCACCAGGCGCCGCACCGCCGCCTTCAGGTGGCCCTGCGACGCGAAGTTCAGGACTCCGCAAAACTGCAAAATCTGAAGGCAAAGCACAAGAAAGCTAGTAAGTTCATGTTGAAAACATTGATGATCTATTAAAACTGAATACCATCTTCGACAGTGGGCCTACTTTGGAGAGCCGCTGCGTCCAATGTAGCTGCGGTCAGAGGCCTCCCTCAACGCCCCAGTATTCTTAAGACCCTGCAAAAGTCTGCCCTGCCTCGGGAAGGCTTTGACCGCAGCTAGTTTGGGAGCAGTAGCCTCGCAAAAATGGTCATAAAGTGATTGAATCTCCGAAAGTAGCCATTTTTGCTTACTTTGGGTGGCTACTGCGTCCAATCTAGCTGCGGTCAAAGGCCTCCCTCAACGCCCCAGTATTCTTAAGACCCAGCAAAAGTCGGCCCTGCGTCGGGAATGCTTTGACCGCAGCTAGTTTGGGAGCAGTAGCCTCGCAAAAATGGTCATAAAGTGATTGAATCTCCGAAAGTAGCCATTTTTGCTTACTTTGGGTGGCCACTGCGTCCAATCTAGCTGCGGTCAAAGGCCTCCCTCAACGCCCCAGTATTCTTAAGACCCTAAAAGAGTCTACCCCTCTTGGGGAAGGCTTTGACCGCAGCTAGTTTGGGCGCAGTAGCTTCACAAAGTTGGTCAAAAAGTGATTGAATATCAAAAGTATGATAGTTATTATGTCGGATTGTGCTGATTATTTCACTGATCGCCTACTAGACGTACACTGATTGTCTCGAGTTGTTTTTGGCCACGCCGCCGCCCTAGAGGCCAAGGCAGACAAAGCGCCGCTGAGGGGCGGCTGCAAGATGGTACCATCATTACTGCTAGTAGTTTTATTCGCGTTTTTTTCGAGTCTTTTCGCTGTTGTTTTACATGTCGCTGCACAGCGGCTCAGCGCGCTGCAATCTGCGGCGCTGCAGCGCTGGGTTTACATTACCCAAGTTTTACTGCGGCAGGGACGACTCGCCCACATGACTGCTTGCCAAAGGGAGACGCGAGCGCGCCCGAGCGGAGCGGAACGAGCCCACGTATTTATTGCGCGCGGCAAAGCGAGCGCGCCGGGCGCGGCGAGCGAACCGAGCACGGGACAGTCGGCAACAAAGGCACTGGCCGGGTAGCTTGCTGTAGCTTGCTGTGCAGTGTGTTTCGCGGCTCCACTTATCATTCGGCACCGCCTGCTCCCAATTTATCGGCTACCGATACGCCGGACCTTTATTACAGTGTCGGAGGTGTCATCGGCCGCGCTCCGCCTGAGTCATGGCCTACACTGTACCTGCACGCCCTTGAGGGCCACGGTGTTGGCGTAGCGCCGCGTGTCCACGTAGATGTCGGTGCCGGGCAGCGGCTGCAGCGTGCACGTGTACGGCGTGGCGCTCTGCAGCAGCAGGATGACGACGGAGCTGGCCCCGCCGGCCGCCAGCGCCATGTCCAGGTCCACGAGCACGGCCACCAGGAACGTGAGCAGCCACAGGGCGCCGTCCACGCGGGACAGCCGCCAGAACTTGACCACGTCGCCCCACTGGGGGCAGAGGCAGGGCGTTAGGGCTGGGCGATGGCGGGGCGTGGAGGGGCGTGCGGGGCGTGCGGGGCGTTCCGGCTCACCTGCACCAGCATGGGCTTGAGGGCGACCAGGATGATGCTGGCCAGCACGCAGCGCGGCATGGGCTCGAAGAAGGGCCCGGCCCACAGCAGCACGACGAGCAGCCCCGCGCAGGACACGATGGACGCGAGCTGCGTCCGGCCGCCGACCTTGCCAATTTGAAAGAAACGCTTTAGGAGACGAGCCAGCGGCGGCGCGCGGCCACGACGGGCTGGGGCCGCACCGAGAGCTGCAGCGAGGACCGCGACGGGCTGGCCGTCACGGGGATGCAGGAGAAGAGCGAGCCGAAGAGCGAAGCCGCGCCCAGGGCCGCCAGCTCCTGGTTGGCGTCCACCTCGTAGCGCTCGCGGGACGCGAAGAGCAACGCCAGCGACATGGCGATCACGTAGGCCACCACGGCCACCGTCAGCGCGTCCAGCGCCACCTGGAAGCAGACACCGTCCCACAGTGGGCCAGAGGACCGATGGAGACAGGCCCGGAGACAGGCTCTAGAGTCGCTAAATGGTACTTGAACCGAACAATGTGACCCCACCAAACGATTGATCTCCGAACGAGGAATCCATCGGTGGGGTCTCACGGTCGGTTCCAGTCATGATTAGCGATTCTGGCGCTCAAAACTCGTCTAGAATTTTGTCCGCCTCCACCGGTCTTCTGCGCGTCAGCCCGCCGGGCCGTGAGGCCGTCGGCTATTGTGCCGCCAGCCGATCGGCGCTCGCTGGCGAGACGGCACCGGCCAAAGAGGGGATTGGAAATTGAGTTGCCAGTAGTTCGTCCTTTGAACCGCGAAATTAGCAACTCAGGTAGAGCCGGGTGGGCTGGCTGGCTGGCAGCCCCTCCCCGGGGGCGCCCGGTCACCTCTTTGACGCCCTTTGCAATAATAAGTTGCGCGTCTTGGAGCCGCGGCGAGCCTCGGATCCGGATCGGCAACATCATGGCAGGCGACCCGTTCGGGCCCTTTCGGGCCTTTTGTACTCGCGGCTGGCAGTGCCCTGGCAGTGCCCTGGCAGTGCCCAGGTGCCCACTCGGCCGTCGTCCCGCGGGACGGTCCCTTTGGCGGCCCCAGGGCCTTGGCGTTGCCTTGGCGGCCCCAGGACCGCGCCGGAAACACTTGAAAGGCCAGGAAGACGGACGGACGGGCAGGAAGGAGGGGAAGGGAAAGAAGAGAGAAAGTCGCGTGCCGCCGAATCTAATGAATCGAAGGACTCGTGTTGCTGGAGCTCATTACTTACGCAGCCTGTTCGGCGCGGCCGGGAGATGAGGTGCGAAGAGCGACATTTTGTTTGCTAATATCACCGCGCGGCGCGGCGAGCGAAAGGAAACGAAAAGGTCGTTTTCCGCTATGCATAATAGTATCAGCACGGGAGTCACACTGGAAGGAGGGGAAAATGTTTCGCCTCGGTGTCGCTGTCAGCAGGGGGTGAAGTTTGCCAAACGAGAAATATGATGCGTCACTTTTTTTTTGGATTACGTCTTTTTTGTGAGTGTCGGGATGAGACGGGCAGAAAGAGAGAGAGAGAGAGAGAGAGAGAGAGAGAGGAGAGAGAGAGAGAGAGAGAGAGAGAGAGAAGACTTTGGCGCAATATGGCAGGCGATTTTCAAAGGGGGCGACGCCCGGTGGCCAGGGCCAGCCACGCCAGGGCCAGGCTGAGGGGCTGGGAGTTGTCCCGCGGCTCCGGATTGGCCAGAGCCCGGACGGGGTGGTCCTGGTGGCCCCGGTGGCCCCGGTGGCCGGGTCGTTGAATGTTTGATGCGCTTACTCACCAGAGGCAGGAGTTCCAGGGGCGGCAGCTTCGGCACCTGTATGCCGGTGGGGATGGGGCCGATGGACCGCAGGCCGGCGAACAAGTCGGTGTGCGCGCCCACCAGACTGGCCGCCACCACCACCACCAGCTCGATGGGGATCGGCAGGGAGCAGCGCTTCGACGCCCAGGGCTGCGTTCGGCAAAGTTTCAGGGTTATAATACGTTGGCACCGCCGCGGCTTGGTCTCCGCGCTGCCTTTTACCTTGATGACTTCGTTGTTGACGGCCAGCACGGCCAGGGCCACCGCGGACACGGCCAGCGCGCTGAGGTTGGTGCGCGGCACGGCCAGGGCCAGGTCGTAGTACGCGAGGGGCACGTTGAAGGCGCCGCGGCGTCGCGGCAGCTTGACGCCCAGGACGTCCTTGAGCTGCGAGGTGAAGGCGTGGAACGCGGCACCCGCACTACGGTGCTAACACGCCATGTCATTGGAGCGCTTTGCCGGTGGCTTGGCAGTCAAGTGAAAGAGACACGTGGACACGGCCTGGTTTTGTTCGAAAAATGGGACCTACCTGAACCCAGAGACGAGCGGGTCCGAGAGGAGGTTCGACAGAGCGCCGAGCCTGAAGAAGGACATGACGAGCATGTAGCAGCCCACCATGAAGGAGACAGCGGAGGCAACCTGCAAATCACGTTGTTTCAAAAATGACCAAGTTTTGGAGTTGCATTTTTGACTAAATGTTCGTGATACCTGTTATTTGCCTTGAGTTTCGCCTACAGACATGAAGTGAGCTTCACCTCAAGATGCCTTAGCTCGGCGTGGTCGGCGACCGCGGACCCGGTCATGAGGCACACGACGGCGAAGGTGCCGACCGAGATGTGCTCAAGGTGACCAGCAGCCGTACAGCCGGTGTTGTATGGAAGGCCATGTGGATCCACGTGATGCCGAGCACGTCCGACCGAGGGTTCGATAGGCGCCAGCCCGAAGTGCGCGCGGCTGTGGAACAGTGAGAGACACAGCAAGGCCACCTCAAACGTTGGACGTCTTTTTTACTTGTTGTGTTTTGGATCCTGCCTGCGGTCTAGTCAACAGTGCGCCTAGGCCTGAGGCTCGCCCGAACCCTTGTCGGCGGCGATGCGGCAACTGACTTGAGCTGCCGCTCGAGATTTCTGGGTCCCGAGCATTCGAGCAATGGTAATGGCGTGTCTATGAACCCGGCGACTGCCGTTGCCACTTGGTGCTGACAACTGAGCCACGGGCGCCAATGGCACCGCTGCTGGTCTGGTCTCCGGGTGTCTCAGTGCGTGCCTCCCCGGAACGGCATTGGCGTCGAAGCCCAAGTGATTACTACCGATCGCTCGGGAATCATCATCCCAAATTGATCAGTTTCTGTCCGGAGGCGGTGCCGGCGGACTGTACCCGGAAGGAGCGACACGAGTACAGCCCGCCTCGAAAAGGAAGCGGAAATCTCGAAGGATTTGCCTCAGCAGGGCTGAGACATGACTGCGGCGCCCTGTGAATACTGCAGAGGCCTACCCGCCCCGGCCCCCCAGGCCCACCTGCGGCACGTGCATGACGGCGACCGTGGCCCCCGCCACCAGGTCCCCGGGGAGGTCCCCCCGCCAGTCGTACGCCGACAGCCAGCCCAGGGCCGGCACTCTGGCCAGGACGGCTCTCTTGGCGGCAGCGGCGCTCCACCTCCTGCCGCCTCCCTCCTTGGGCTGCTTGCCGTAGCCGAAGGTGCGGTTGATGTCCTCCTGCTGGAACACGGGCCGCTGCACCCGCAGCTCGAGGCGCGACGCCAGCGCAGGCAGGCCGGGCGGCCCCGGCGGCCCCACGCCCGCGACGGGCACGCTGTTGGCCTCGAAGGCTACCATGGCGGCATGGCGCGCGGCGGGGCACTGACACACTGCCACCGCTCTGGCGGCGTGCTGGCGGCGTGCTGGCGGTGCCACTGCGACACGTGGAGCCGCGGCCTGATAAGGTGCTTTCGGGATGCTGCGCGCGCTATGCGACGGCTCGTCTTGATAAAGAAGCGGCAGCGTTGACGGGGACAAGCTCGCTCAAAAAAAATTTCTATTATTTCTCTCTTGTACCTCTCATTTCCTAGAATTTCTACGAGTTTATTGGGTTCCCTGAATGAATCTCGCTACAATAGGCCTACACCTGCGTTCGCCCGCGCATATGACTTAAAACAAACACATCGAGATTGAATAATAAAAATGATAAAAAATGGAATGGTTTCGCTTTTCCGTGCTAATTGGCCGCACTGGTGTCGGTCCGACCTCGCCGCCCCTCTCACCTCGCCGCCTGCGCCGCCCCTGGGGCGCCGTGGCCGCCGTGGGCCAATCAAAAGCCCGCAGTCATTATTCGTTCCGCTTCAATTAGGGTCACCTCCAATGAAGAGGAGAGTTGGTGTGTGTGTGTGTGTGTGTGTGTGTGTGTGTGTGTGTGTGTGTGTGTGTGTGTGTGTGTGTGTGGACCAAAAGTGAGTTTGTTCGCCGGCCCCTCGCCCTTCGATTTCGTTTCCTTTGCTATGACTTCTGGTTTCGTTTCACCGGTACTCCTGCTGCTCCTCCTACTGCTGCTCCCTCTGCTCCTGCTGCTGCTGCCGCCACCTTTATTTGTTCCGGCGGGAAAGAATAAAAAATAAATAAAGGGGATTATGGCCGGCTCACTGAGGTGTTCGGTGTTTCTCGTTTTTTTGGGGGTGAGAACGGCGAAAACAACTAAGGCCACCCTGTCGGTGGGGCTGACCCGGTGTGAGAGCAAATTATCGACGAGTGTGGCACACTGTGCGCGCGCGCCGCCGCCGCGTGGCACGAGGCATGCAGATTTATTCAACAGGTAAAATTGCAATGGTCAATTGTTCCCGGCGATGTGGCTTCATTCACACGCGCGCCCTGGACCGCCTTTTTGCCGCGCGCTGCACCGCCGGGAGTCGAACCTGGGACCGGGCCGGCTGAGCTATGTTAATATAATCGTGCTGCAATCTGGGCAGTGGCGTGCATACTGATTGGCGCGGCCCGGCGTGGCTCCCATTACCCTGGTAATTAAGTGTCGCCGGGACGTGCGCCACCAGCCACTCGTTCTCCTCGAGGCCGAAGTGGGAGGTTCTCCAGCAGGAGGTTCTCCAGCAGCTTCTCAAGCGGCTGGCTATTGCTCGATTATCTAGGTATGCTGGTTCGCACTTCTCCCCTGCCACATGGTGGTGATCGGACCTGCGGTGGTTTCAACTCCAGGACTTCCAGTGTGACGGCTGATTATTCCTCGGCACCGCCCTGTCCAGCCCGGTCGAGCGAGGCAGGCTAGCCAGGCCGGCGGGAAGGGGCAGTCTATTAGACCGGCCTCCGCCCGCTCCGCCGATACGATATGTCGATGGCTATCTGATGGGGAAAGGGGAGCGGCAGGCTATCGGGTCTCCGTAACCAAGTCGCCTGTTGTTGCGCTGCACGCACACACACCCATACACACACACACACACACCCATACACACACACACACACGAGGCGGTTTCGTACCTCCACCACCGCCGTGACGCACTCCGTGTCCCGAATTGGCGCCCCCCCCCCTTACACACACACACGCACGCCTCCGACGGGCTCTGGCGCTAAACAGAAAATCTGGGCGACGCGATGAAAAGTCTGTAGTCCGGGCACGTTGTCGGCGCGCAAGGCGCGTCGGGGGCTAAGCCAGTGTAGTGCGTCCCCGCGCCACCATTAGGGGCCCGCCCTTGCTACACTCGATGTAGTCCCCGCTGCACTGGGCGAGGCGGGGGAGGGGCCTGTCAGTGTGACGCGTCAAACGCATTCGGCTCGGCGTCGCCGCGTCGTCGCCGCGTCGCTGTGCGTGGCTTCGCCTCCGCGCCGCCTTCCTCTTCCTCGACCTGCTCTTGGCGTGTTATCTGCTGCCCGTGATGTGAGCCACTTACCCCCTCCCCGCTCGTCTTAATGCACAATAATGAGGACTACCTGCCCCTCCCCTCCTCCCACACACACACGCACGCACATGCGCACGCGCGAGCAATTTCCCCCTTTATTCCTTGGCGCGCAGACATCTAGAGCTCATATTAGAGCGAGGAGTGTGCCCCCCCTGCGCGCCTACACTATCTCAGACATACGCGCGCACACACTGGGAGTGTGCCTCATCCTCATTAAAGATGCCATTGTGGACCGCTAATCTGACCGCACCAGTGAAGGAAACTGCCGCCAGGGCGCGCCGCCGCCGCGTCGTCGTATCGCCCGGCGCGCACTTGCTGCGAGCGGGCCGTTGTCGTTTCAGCTGCCGTGTGTGTGAGTGAGTGTAGGTGTACGTGTGTGTGTGTGTGTAGGTCAGGGTCGCCGCCTGCGACCCAGCTCTTCTCCAGATCTGTAATTTGCGCGTAGGAGTCTTCCCGAATGGAAGTATTTTCGCGTAGCGGTGTGGAATCGACGGTCGTTAGACGTCCTCGTCGTCGTCGTCGCCGGCGCGCTGCTGCTGTGGTCCAGAAGGCAGCCCCCTGCCCCCTGTTTGCGCCAACTAATTTCAAGTTGCGATTATCGATGATCTTTTCCCTATTCCTCGGCGCTGCGGCGAGCGCGGCGGGGCCGGCGGGTGGGGAGAGCCCCAGGGAGGGAGAGCCCGCGGGCGCCACGCCCCGCCGGCCGCCGAGGGATAGCTTCCGCTGCTTCCGTTGTCCGGGAAGATGGATGGCTTGGCGTTCGGCAGCTACCTGCCCCCGAGTACTGCCCCGTGTGTGCCGTGCCGCCGCGCCGCCGCGGTCGCGTTGTGCTTGTACTGCTCCCGGCTCCCGGGGGGGCTGTCGGGGCCGTGTTTCATCTGGCAGCCTCGCCGCGTCGCGTGGCCCCGCGTAGCCACGCGTAGCCGCGCCAAGTTGACGCAGGGCGCGGCGGCCTCCAGGAAGACATGGGAGACATGCCCTTGTATAAGGGCTCCGCGTCTGTGAGGCCCATTTCCACACAGGAACGCGCATTGTGGCGTTGTTTTTTTCGGCATGACAAGTAAGAAAGTCACTACAGCTTTCCTTTTGGAAAAAATAAGTAAAACTTCCACATCCCAGAAATTTTGTTGCAGTTTTCCCTCGCAGCCGTCCGCGATGTCGACGCCTCGGCGCGGCGCGGGCTAATCCGCACCGCTCGCCGCGGAGCTTTGCGACACTGCCTCGCGGTCGTTCCGCGCTCCGCCGTGGCCGAGGCCGTGGCGGCGTGACGTCACTCGAAGGACGAGGTCGCCAAATGAAGAGGGGGAGCGGAAGAAAAGACGAGGAAAAAAGGGGGCGGGAGACTCGTTTAAATTCAAATTGGTCCTCCGAAGATGGCCGCATCATTTGCCATAAAATCCAGTCCATCGAAGTCGCGCGCGCGCCGCGGCTCGGGCCGCATTTGCATCTGGAAATGAGGCCCAATCGACTAAACATGGTGCAGTTTGGCGCGGCCCCGCCCTGTCTGGCTCTGCTAATGGCGATGTACACGGACCCGGCCTCGCCTCCGCCAGCTTGGCCGCGCGGTCCGCACCGTCCGCGGACAGCGGGCACCTCACCAAGCACCGCGCACCTCTGTCGAGGCGGGAGCAAGCAGCGAGGAAAAGATGGCAAAATGGCGGACGTGTTTTCGGCTTGACTGCCACAGCACGCGCGCTCCACCTGCAACAGGGCACATCAGCGCGCGGGGCGCGGGGCGTCGTCAGCGCCGCAATTTGACTTTCTCTCTCCCACGCTAGAAAAAGGAAACGGACGCATCTATACGCCAGCGGTGCCGTGCCGTGACGGACCAGATGTCGCTTTTGGATTCATACCCATCAGTTTCCTCGACAATACAACTTTGTCCCGTGCCAGCCCCGGCGCCCCCACGCGCACGCACACACTCCCAGGCACGCACACAGACGCACAGTGGTACGCGCGCCGCGTGTAAAGCTGCTCTATTGAGCCCGCTTCCCCCCACTCCTCCCAAGGATGAGCCAGTGACACACTTTTCGGACCCCCCGCAGCTATCCTTTCAGGACACCACACAGGGTCAAGTGAAAGGGGATGCGATGGGGTGGCTGTCGCGTCTCGCCTGGGTGCCGGGGCGGGGCGGGGCGGGGCGGCCTGACGGGGTGCAGGACTATGCTCTCGCGCGCAGTTTCGCCACCGGGAATGGCCCACAAATCATGCCTACGCCATCTGTGGGAGTGGTTGCGAACTACACTGCGCGGAACGGAATTAAAGCCGGTTTACGCACGTGCGTAGCGGTTGACCTTGGTGAAAAAAACGGATTTTAAAAAGAGTCAAAAGACTACAAAACAAACACAAAATGGCGAATTAAGTCTGCCGTTTGCCCGGAGCCAAGCCGTTCGTCCTTGTAACGCGGCTTTTCATTCTCTCTCTCCTTCTCTCTCTTATCACCGCGGCAACCCGCGCGGCTAAGCGACACCGCCCTGCTTGGAATCTCATCTGACAAAATTTAAACACAACAATGTTGAGTTACGTCACGACGTAATCCGGATGACAAGGACAGCGATGCCGCGGCGGTGGCGGCGGACAAGGACGCCGCGACCGGCCTGATTGCGTTTTGTCTCGCCGGCCGGTCTCTCTCTCTGAATGTGTGCGCGCCGCTGTTGTTCTGCGCGATTTCTTTTTTGCCGCTCTTCTTATCGCCTCGGTTTGTTTGCAGGTACGCGAGAAACGGCGCCGAAAAAGTAAGCAACAAATGAGTTGGACCATGACGGGCATGGCCGTGGCGAGGTGGCCGACGACGACAAGGACGGCGTCCCGGTGGCCGTCCCTCCGGGCCCCGGCCACGGCCCTGGCTCCAGCGCCGGCCCGGCGATCTGGGACAGGCCCTCCTTCTCGACAATGGCCGCCTGAATGGGTTGGTCGGGCCGACACTGCCGCTACACT